TATTTTAACAAATTAAGCAAATATATAAGAATTCCTAAAACTTTTCAACCCTAAGGAATGATCAGTATGTAATAAGTACATAATGCAAGATTGTACATTCTAACAAATACAAACACAACCTTATAACTTTCCATCACTCTGAAAACTGTAATGACGTTAATTAGGTCACTGACAAAAGAGATGAGGAAAAACTAGGGAAAAACACAGAAGGAGAAAATATAATGACTGATTTGGGTTAAATACTACAAGCAAATAAAAATTCTACGCATAATTTAACCAGAATGATATTAGTCATTCCAGCTTGTAAGAAAAATTTGAAAGGGTAAAATAGTTGATACCACTTTCATGGTTTGTTCGAGAGCTCCAGCGTGAAATCAATAACTATATTAAAAATAAATACTGGACAAAAAAATATCATGGGTTTTTGAGTAACTACTTTAAGTACTTGCAAAACTTTGAATGTTATTAACATAAACATTGAAACGTTGATTTGATAACATCTGAGACTGACAACAAACATGCCCTGCATTTCCATGAGACAACCTCAGAACAAAGTAACCCATGAAACTGTAAGCACAAACAGAATTAGAGAGCAGTAAAGCAGGAGTTTACATAGATATAGCACTGCGTCTTACAGCTGCACTCAATAGAGGATTAGGATCAGGTTCTTCTGTGATAATATTCACCTTTACCCACTCTCGGTTAGCACTTGATTTTCGTAATGCATCTATGACAGCTTGAACATACAACCCATCTTCAAAGTTAGCAGCTTGTGCTACTGGTTGCTTTATCCAACCTCTTTTGTCTTCAACTGGGAGGAAAGCTTCTCTCAGTGCACATATCATCTTAAAGAGACCTTTCATGTAAGGACGGGGTATTGACTTTGCAGCACTGGCAATTATATTCCCACCTCTTTGGAGGTCCTCAACATCCACATATATAACTTCTTCTTTAGAAGCCCCAGCTTTCTGACCATATAAATCTCCACCTCGTACAACTAAGTGGCCTTGCTGTCCACATACCAAAACTTCTTGGCTGAAAGACCCTTGAAAATGGTTGTTCAATGTGACAGTCACTAAGGTCCCATCACTCATATCCATTTGAAAACTACAGAAGTCTGGACTGGATATGTGTCTTATGCCATTGATATTATCAGTGGTTTTGGTAAATGTTCTTACAACACCATGGACTCGAACAGCTTTCTGATCAATGAGGTAAGAGACTAAATCAACGACATGACTACCAACAAGGGTCAGAATTCCTCCACCCATTGTTTCATCACAATGCCAGTCATAAGTGGAATGCAAAAGGCTCCCCATTTGTACACGAATATCACATACAGTGATTTTGTTGTCTTTTCCCAGGAAGCCTTCACAAATAGCTCTTCGCATGTGCACAAATGCTGGTAAAAATCTCAAACTATGGTTTACTATTGATATGAGGGATGGATAATACTGACAAGCTCGAACCATTTTCAGAGATTCACTTTGGCATAGGCCAGCAGGTTTGTCACATAAGACATGTTTACCTATGCCCAATGCTTTCACAGCAATTTGAGAATGAAGATTTGGAGAACACATAATGAAAATAAGGTCAACATCTTTCCGCAATAAGACATCGTCAATTTTGTTGGTGCAGAAAGGTATTTCCAGTTCTTGGGCTATTTCTTGAGCTGCTAACAGTGTTCTTCCCCACAAAGCTTCAATTTTAAACCCCTTCTCACGTAGAAATGGTACTATCACTCTCACAACGTTTCCAGTTCCAAATACACCAATTCCTGGCAACATTTTGGATGTGGATATTTTTTAACAAAAACAAAATCACAAAGGTTAACTTTATAAAAAAAAAGAAAGTGTTGACAAGTTAAAAACTTTCATTAATGGCTTGACACTCCCTTTTTCTTCAAAAGATGACACAGCTCTGTATGTTTGACTTGATCTTCTGCTTAAATTTGTTGCTCGTCTCGGTTTGTTGTGTGTTGTTTTCCTTTTTAACATGACTCACTTAGCCTCGTGTAAAGGCTCGTTTCCTGTTGAACCGCAATGTATGACTAAAAGTGGTGCGTATGAAAAGTTTACTAGTCAAAAGCATCGATTATTTGCAGTTGTAGTAGTAGTCTCGTATAGGGCCTTCCTAAGTGTAAAGCGCGCCAAATCGACGAGGAGTTTGACGGGGCGGGAAAAGAGACCCTTCCCTTATATAGATAGTGTGTGTGGTGTAACTCATGAAAGGGCCTTTTCTCAAGGGTGTACAGAAGTGTAAAGCCAGTCGATAGAGAGGAATGTTGAGCTTTCCATTTGTGTGTGGGTCACTAAAACCACACTGTCAAACAAAAGTGTACAGCATTGATGTTTTTACATTTATTTATTTTTTGAAGTAATGTAATTCGTTTACGGACGTGCTTCCATATCTTTAGTTTCTTTAAAACCACCGCAGTAGAAACTGGTTCTTATCAGAATCAATCAATTACAAAAACAAGATTATTTGAGTGCTAAAATATGTTGGCGGCATGCATCACAGATATTTAGATAGTCAGCGCAGTCACATAAAGAAATTGCAAATAATGTTTCTATCATTTCCTAAATCTGTTCTATTGTGAATCTTATCTAGTAAGAATGAATTTAAAAATTAAAGTAATAGTAATATCAAAGTTTTTCTAAGATTGGGGTAATTCTAACAGTCTAATGATATTTTTACACATGCAGTCGCAAGCATTTCTTTTATGAAAAGAGAAACAAGTTCTGAGTGAGATCATAATAAAGGATCATGTAATACAATTGCATACTCAATGTGTCACTAAATAGTTTTCATTTTAAAATTGATTAGGACATCATACACAAACTAATAAAGCACTCTCTTCAAATCCCACCTATTACTTATTATGTCATACAAGCAACATAAATATAAATACACAATGAGCTCAAATCACTAGCCCTTTGAAAGATAAAATAATGTACAGGAACATTTATCATAATCAATCACCACTTTGCGGGTCTGTATATAAGTAAATATCACGTTATACACCCGGCAACTTCAAAAATTCACCGGCTCTATCAGCACAGCTGATGAAAACATGAATTAAATCTGCTAAATTAATAACACAGCTACTGAGATAGATCTCGTCTTCAGAGCCAAATAAGGGTTGAATTAGAATAATAATAATTGATAAACACTCATAACAACATAACAACAAATATTGCTAAGCATTGACTGTCACAAAAAATAAAAGAAATGCCTAATGACATTGTGGGGCAAATCAACATAAAATTTTAAATTGCTTTAAATGATTGTACATCAATATCACACGCTAAACCTTACACATTTTAAGTCAAATGGACGAATAACAAGCTTTTATTTGAAGCCTGTGATCACTAGATACGCTATTATCAGAAAGTGCTCTACTTCTGTGGTATCATTAATAAATACAGAGAGAATGATAATAAAGACAGAGTGTGCGTGGAATTGTGACGATGAAAAAGACAAATAGCAAGGGATGGTGAGGAACGTAACGTAAGACAGGGATAGACAAAAAAAAAAGAAGAAGAAGACAATAAGAAGGGCATTGGAAGTACTACCCCCGAAGTCTTTGGAGGGAATGTCTTGAACTAAAAATAAGTTTGCAGTAACATTGAAATTAAAATAAAACTATTTTGGCATTTAGAGGAGACTGGTTAATCGTCCGGCACATCGCAATAGTTCATCAGCTCGTCTATGGTGCACGACTTGGAGCAGCACTCGTCGAAAACACCTCTCGTGACCCGCCGGTGATTTTCCAGCAGCGCCGCGGCGCGCAGCCGGTCTCTGAAGGGCAAGGCGGGTGGCGGCGTCCAGTACTCTTCCTCGGCTCCTGCAACTGAGAAGTCAAAAGAGATTAGAATCCTCTAGTACAATCTGAGGCGGCGGGGAAGATCCTCCTTGACAGTCGCTGAGGAGGTCTGGAGGTCTGAGTTTCGACTTGGGCGCGTCTCTACAGAGACATGCGGGATGGTAGGCAGTTTGAGGGGGAGGAGGAGAGAAGGGGGAG